TGGCCTTGAACTCACAGAGATCCACTTGCCTCTACCTCCCAAGTGCTGGGAACAAAGGCGTACACCACCATGCCCGGCTGAGGTTCTTTTTGTTTATTTATTTTTTGGTCTTTTTGAGACAGGGTCTCTCTGTAGCCCCAGCTGTCCTGGAACTCACTATGTAGACCAGGCTGGCCTTGAACTCACAGAGATTCTCCTGCCTCTGCCTCCAGAGTGTTGGGATTAAAGGCGTGTGCCACCACACCTGGCACAAATAAGAAAATTCTTATTTGTAAGGCACACTCTGTTACTGCAAAGCTGCCAGTGTTAGAATGTATTGCCTGGGACTGGGGAAATGGCTCAGTCAATAAAGTGCCTATTGCAGAAGCATAGGAGCCTCAGTTTGATTCCCCAGCAACCATGTAAAGCTAGGCATGGTGGGACATGACTATTACACTAGTGTTGGAAAGGGAGGCAAAGATAAATGGATCCCCCAAAACTCACTGCCAACCAGTCTTGTTCATTGGTAAGCTCTGGTTCAGTGAGAAACCATGTCTCAAAAATTAAAAGTAGACATCTCACAAATCTGTTAGCTTCACACACATGTGCACAAACATACAGACACATACACTACATGCACATATATGCAAATAAAAAAGGAACATACTACCTAATTTTTCAGGAAAATAATCCTTATTTAAATTTTTAAATTTTTTTTATTTTTTATGTATATGAGTGTGTTGCTTGCATATAGATCAGTGCACCCATGTCATGCAATACTCACAGAGGATCCCCTGTAACTGGAGTTCCAGATGGTTGTTAGCTGCCATGTGGGGCCTGGGAATCAAACCCTGGTCCTCTGCAAGAGTAGCAAGTGCTCTTAACCAGTGAGCCATTCTCCAGCCCTGATTTTAAAATTATATTGGAATTTTTTTGTTTTGGTCTTTTTGAAACAGGGTTCTCCCTGTAGCCCCCACTGGCCTGGAACTCACTACGGAGACTAGGCTGGCCCAGTTGCTGGGACTAAAGGCATGCACCACCACACCCGGTTGGAAATTTTTTTTTTTTTAAGAAAAAAGTACTCCCTGAAATAAGTGAGTGCGAATTGCAATTGTAACTTTTGTCATTATAATTTCAGGGGAATCAAAGAAGAAATCTAGAATCTACAGTGTCCCAAATTGAGAAGGAAAAGATGTTGCTACAACACAGAATTAATGAGTACCAAAGAAAAGCTGAACAGGAAAACGAGAAGAGGAGAAATGTAGAAAATGAAGGTAAACATCTTTTGAAACATGTTAGAATAACTGGGCATGCACTTTTTTTGACCTGGGGGATTGGGGGCAGTGTCCAGGGTGTCCATGTAGCCCCAGCTGGCCTCAAACTCAAAGATCTGCCTACCTCTGCATCCCAAGTGCTGGGATTAAAGTCATGCGCCACTGTTCCCAACTAGACAACTACTTTACCACTGAGCTATAATTCTGGCCTCTGAAATTTCTGTCTTTATCATGAAGATGTCCTAAACTTCACGAATTATTAGATTTTTTAAGATATAGTAATGTACCAACATTTATTCATGAGTTAAATAACCTAGACCTCCAGTTAAATTTATAACTTGCTAAAGTTTAAAAGTAGTATTTGGCGCCAGGTGTGGTGGCGCATGCCTTTGGTCCTACCAGAGGAGGCAGAGGCAGGCGGATCTTTGTGAGTTTGAGGCCCTGGTCTATGTAGCGAGTTTCAAGCAGCTGGGGCTACAGGACAACCCTTTTTTTCAAAAGGCCCCAAACAAAAGCAATTGTTAATCATTGTGCGTGCCAGAGTATCCTGAGAAGCTTTAAAGAATTCTGACTCTTAAACCCCAGAGATTCCTTTTTAAATTATTGATATAGACACATGGTCTGGGCATCAGTATAACTCCATGGACACTTATAGCAAGTAGCCACATTTGAGAACTACTAAGCTAGAGTTTTATAGTTCAGTGTCAGTGTTGAAATTGTGTTGTTTAAAGACAGTTTCAGCCTGGCGTGGTGACGCACGCCTTTAATCCTAGCACTCGGCAGGCAGAGGCAGTCAGATCTCTGTGAGTTCAAGGCCAGCCTAGTCTACACAGTGAGTTCCAGGACATCTGGGGCTACAGGGAGACCCTGTCTCAAAAGGACCAAAGAAGTAAAAATAAAATCTTTTCTACATCATTTGACCCAGTAATTTTATTTCTGGTTTATTTTATTTATGTATTTTCATGCATGCAGTCTAATGTATATAGAAAGCTCTTCATTATAGCATTGGTAAAATATAAACAATATAAATGTATTCAATGATATAATACATTGTAAAAGAAAAAAAATTTCCTTATACCATAATATATGTATGTATTTATATAGGCATGCATGTAAATATAATTATATATATATATATATGTATTTAATCACAGAACTTGGGAGGTAGAGGAGGGGGATTGCTGTGAGATCAAGGCCAGCCTGGTCTACATAGCAAGTTCCAGGACAGCCAGGGCTACATAGTAAGAACTTGTCTGCAAAACAAAATAGAAGAAGATATGCAAGAGCTAATAATTGTTGTTACTGGGAAGGACAGCCAGTTAGAATGATATGAGGGAGGAATACTCACAAAAATACTATCTACCATTTAGTACCTTTTGATTTTTGTGCCATTTAAAAAATACTGAACTATTCAAGTAATTTACTGTTCAGAAAAAAGTCACACACACAAAAAAACCCAGCTTTATTACTAACTGCTGTGGTACATTCCTATAATCCCAGCTCTCAGGAGGCTAAGCTAGAGAGTCACTTGAGCTGAATATTTGAAAACAGCCTGGACAACAAAATGAAACATTATCCCAAAGAAGGAAAAGTATCCAAAAGTAGATGTGTACTATTGCACCAATAGGCAGGTTTTATGAAGGCAGTAAAAGAATTTGAAATAACTACAATGATGGAAACAAATCTATTTCACTCTATGTTATAAAATCATGCCTTCCTTTTTGTTTTGGTTTGTTTTT